TACATCATTCTTTGCGGCAAGATTTGCTCGTTGACTTAACCAAGCATAATTCTGATAATTCTCACTAATGTCATTACTCGAATTCTTAATTATGGTGCGTGAAGTTCCAGCAATTTGCATTAAGGCACGATGCCATGCACCACTAATTTTCTTAGCTATAAACCTCACGGAGTCCGAGACCTTTCCAACGAATGCAAAATCTTCGAAATCGGTTCGTGCGTTCTGGAGTTATATCGTATGGAAGGAAAACCCGACTTATTTTTATATAATAGATAATAGTCTATAATTTTCATAATCACGTACCCCATATTAGTTGCTTTTGGCAATTATAGTTTCTAAGTTACATTTTTCTTACTAATATTTTAATAAACATTATTACTGTAGTTAAAATCTTAGGTAAATTAATTTGTAAAATCTAGTTCATATGGCACTCACTCTTCAATCTAAGATCATGAACTTGCTAAATATTTCATATCCAATTTCAAACAAATGAATTTTTGACACATGAAACATTAAATTCTAAATCATTTTTTCAATAAGTAGAAATATTATTTTGTATTTAAATAATTTAGTAAAGTAAGCAAAATACAACATGCATAAGTTTTCAAAAATAATGTATTATGGACGTATTGCGTTATTTATTAAACTAAATTATATAATTTCATCTGCCAACACATATTGTATCTTAAATTGTTTTAATTTCTGGCACATCTCAGCTGGTTTTAATACTGTGATTTTTAAAACGTCAAATTTTTTTCTGTAAAAATCTGTAACGGTCTGTTCAAAATTACATTTTCACGTTATGTGTAAAACTGTTCTAGTTGCAAGTTCTTTATTCTAAAAGCCGAAAAGCAACTATTTAAAAATCGATTTATATCATATAATGATTGAATTTCCAAATTGAAAAATTTCAACAATTCACCGATGGAAACAATTGTTTGAAACCAATTTGTCAACGTAGGTACTCCAATATGAAGCAAGGCTATAGAGAATGCAATGAATAACTGTTTCACAGACTGATTGGACATATTATATTCATCAGTTTTTTTCAGTGCAATATCAATCTTTATTACAAAACTCGGTACCAGTAAAAAGCATTCGTGAATAAATAAGTTGACAAAATAACTACAGTTTTGTGATATTTAAAACCTTGGCGATATTCGAAAATCGAGCAATACAAACGTTATCGAAACTGCAATTCTAAGTTGAACACGAATGTATACAGATATCATTAGCTAATAGTTCCCGCAATAAGTATTCGACCCCCTTCGAAAAGCCTGATGCAAGCAGTAGTGACTTTGGTTTTCATATAACATATATAAAATAACACTTTTTCAAATCAGGTTTTACAAAATAGTGATTATAGTTCCAAAATCTATGTATCTTTTTCTAAAAAAAAATATTTGTAAAATTATACTAAACGTTCACAAACACATGCGAGCTTAGACTGACTTGACACGTTGAGTTAAATAAAATTAGCAAATGAGAACTCAGGGAAGAATCAAAGCTTTTCCCTTTGGGACCTTAGTAAATATCTCATCTAATAATTCAAGCAAAGCTCGTAAATTTTTCAAATATTTACATAAATGCTATTTTAAACATTTGACACATCATATTTCCAGCAACTTTAATAATAAACAAGTATTCTAATTTATTCTTTCGCAAAAATTGCTTCGAACAAAATGCACCCTAGCGTATAATACGCTCTGCGCCTCTGACGTTTCTGTCTTGATTTTGTCTTTAATACGAAGTCCCTTCAGAGAACGTTTAAAAAGTTTTTTCGGCGGACTGGTTCCTGTTTTGCAAATTCGGGTTTTTCAGGTTACCAGTGCCAGTAGATACCTTGCATTTCGCTGTTTTTGTTGCCAAATAGAATTAAATCGGCGATACAATAACAAATCAAGTCGAAAGTAAAGTGAGGCGGAAAAACAATTTATTGATTTCAACTCACTAAAATAATAAAGGTGTGTATATATATATATATATATATATATATATATATATATATATATATTATATAAAATTCTTCTGTAATAATGTATGTAAATATACTCCTAAACGATTATTCGGATTTTGATAAATTTTTCTAAAGTTTATTAAAGGAATTTTTTAAGATGTATGTGAAAATATAGTAAGATAAAACAACTTGTCATTGTTTGACATTGAAAACATGTTGATACATGAGAACTGTCATCTGCCAAAAATGTCGATTCACTTGAAATTTGAACTTATTTTCAGCGAGCCTTGAGAATATAAGTATACAATATTCATATTTATAATTATGAATAAGAAAAATGTAATATCTACAATATTATTGCCGAGAACCAGCTGAGATGAGCCAGAAATTAAAACAATATAAATACAATATATGTTTGGCAGATGAAATTATATATGGCATATACATTTTTTTTTTTAATTTATGCATGTTGTATTTTACTTTACTAAATTATTTAAATACAAAAGAAAATTTCCACTTATTGAAAAAATGATTTAGAATTTTGTTTCATGTGCCAAAAATTCATTTGTTTGGAATTGGGTACGAAATATTCAGCAAGTTCATGATCTTAGATTGAACAGTGCCATATGAACTAGATTTTACAAATTAATTTACATTAGATATTAAGTAAAGTAATAACGTTTATTAAATTATTAGTAAGAGATTGTAATTTAAAAATTGTAACTGCAAAAAAGCGTCTAATATAGGGTACTCGATTATAAAAATTATAGACTATTATACTCGTACATTATATAAATTATTGAAGCAATCATATTGGTTGGAAATAACAAAGGTGATATTGTTTTATTATCGTAGATACTAATATTTAAAAACTGCAGTTTCCAATACGTATATATCTTACGCTAAGACCCAAAATGTAAGGGCATTAAATCGAATACTAAGAAGTATAGGATGGTAAAGTAAATTTGGAACTTAAATTGTAGACGTGGGTACAGGATAACGTTTGTCGGGTCATCTAGTATATATATATATATATATATATATATATATATATATATCTGAGTTCGTAAGTGTGTTTAAATTTTACTACTGAACCTTATAGCCTATATAGTTCGGTCTGGAATAGTTATGGTGCAGACGTTCATTGTTTTCTAAAAATAAACGCCAAGATCTACCTACTGACCTGTTCCCTTCTGAATCGAATCGAATCGAATCGAATAAAACGGTAGCACACATAAAAGTGTCAGATAACATTTATTGCTAAAGTTATATAAAAACGACTTAATAAAATCTTCTAAAATCTAATAGAGGTAGCAGATAAAAAAGTAGTCAACAAATTTAATATGCAATATTAATAAATCAAGAAATTTTTATAGTGAATTAATGTTTATTATTTTCTCAAGTGATACTGTTTATGAAAATTCATTGTCATTGTATTCATTTTGATATTACCTCCAAACGGCCAATAAAACCCAACAAATACAGTAAATATATATTAAAAGTCCATAGTTTGAAAAAAAATTCATTTTGGGGTAAAAAAATTCATTTTTACCCCATTAGGGAAGAATTACCCTGGTTCCCCTACCACTGCTTAAAAATAATAATAATATATTCAAACACTGGCTAAGAAAATCCTAACTATAGTCTTGGTCACTTACAATTGACTTTAAATAAATAAGTGTAACTACGAACCTTCAAAAAATTCTATTAATATTTGACTGTAAATTTTCCAATATTCATGTATTTGACTGAATTTATTATCAGAGAAAATGGTATATTTTTTTGATACAACCTTCGAATAAAATCTTTCGCCCACATGAATTATTTTTATGATACCGTCTGTATATTTTGGTCCCCCACGGTTCATCGTGTTTATAAACAAGACGTCATAATTAATTGCGGATTCAATATTTCCAATTTCGTTTTATTTTCTAAATCAAAATTGAAAAAAATTATAAACGTAAATTCCTATCCAACGATGTGAAATTATACCTAGATAGTAAGCAATTTCACATATGTGATAATCAGTTGATGTAAACTTAATTTGTAAGATTATAGACCAATTAGTCATAAAGTAACACATTTCATATGTGAAAATAAAAATGGTAAAATACGAAAATATTTTCTACATAGTATTATAATTTTAATAGTATAGTATTAACTCAAATAAAAATTTTAGTTAATTTTTATAATTCAATCATTTTTCGAGTGCCTCTAAAATTTTAGGATTTTCGTTTAGTTCTGTATTTGCTATGTAATTGACCGTAAGGAGGTAATATTAAATTGGACAAAATAATTTTGGGGTAATGATTTGAACAATGAAACTCAAAAAATAAAAAAGTATTCTATTATTTTAAGTCAAAACAAAAAAGTAAAAAACCAACTGTAGTAAAAAATTGATATGTGTAATATAATGTTATTGAAGTATCGAATTTGATTTTGAAGAATTATTATTATTCGCTTAATTAGCGAAACCAATTGAAAATAAAAAAATTAAATAAAGTGTAGAAATTGTAATTGTGATAATATTAATAATAATTTTTTATAGAAAATCTGTCTAATAATATAATTCAATAAATGAGAAATATCTAATAATTCAAAATAATTTAAATGCTTAGCAAATATTTAGCAATCATTTAAATAGGTCCAAAATATTTTATAAACGTTTCCAATATTAATAACATCATTGCACTCGACATAGTCATATATGGAATTGAGTATTAAAATTTAATCCCAACAATTTCAAAATTCACACGGATAATTAAAAATGCTCATTCAGAGAATAAATATAAATAAATATATATATATATATATATATATATATATTAAATACAATCAATATTTTAATATACTTTTGTAGAATCTAGAAGATAACAATGCATCTCTGTGCATATAATCGACACATGGGTATGGTGTAACAGATTTGTTTTCCAAAAAGCATCAGACCTATATCAGTATATATATACATATATATATATATATATATATATATATATATATATGTATAATATAAAAAGCCTTATAAAAATATATAAAAACTTACATTTGATAAAATTTCCAAGCGATTCATGAAAGACGCCCCATGCACGCATAATTTGGCGGCAAAGTATGCAAAGCGTTGTTATACAATTGTCACAAAATAAAACCTGTAACAACAAATAATGAATTAATTTAATCAAACGATATACATACTAATAATACAAAAAATAATAAATCTATTTATTATAATCCAGAACTATTCGAAAGATATCAGTTGAGAACGGTCATCATTAGTCTTTGATTGATTGGGCGGGCCGTTTCTATTTTCTGTATTATTATTATATTAGATATTTTGTACATCAATCTCTTTATAATCAAACATTGACAAAGTATTTTTTTGCGTTTTTAATGAAACTTAACATGACCAAAGTAATGATTACGCAAACAAACATCCTTAAATTTTAAAGGCTTACAAAAAGTGATTAACCTATAAAAATTCATTAAAGTTTGGAATAATGGCCGCTCTTAAAGGCATACAAACTCGTGCTTGTCAACGCGTATTTTGAAAAATTAGTCTAATTTGTATATTAAATCCGAGTTTATTATACTGCGATTTACAAATTACCCTGTATAGCATTAACTGTATAGAAACGATTATTAAATTAAATCTAAAACTTACCATTTTATTCGCAAATATTTCCGATAAAATCACACAAACACACGCGGCGACCTTCGACTCGGACAAAATTGCACTCGCAAGAATTAACACGACCGACCGACAACAACGAGTGCTACCTGGTTACTGAATTTGCATAATTTTTGAACAACTACTGCCCTCATCTAGGTATTACCATATATGGTCAACGATCTCGTGATGACGTCATACAACATGAGGCATCTATAGGAAATTGGGTGCAAAATATTGCACTTGGAAACCACACGAACGAAATTCATAGAATTTTAGTGTTTTGCGCAACAATTTTATTTAATATTAATAAACTGTGTGCATGTGGCATTTTGTCTAAATAATAATAGATAAAAATAAAACTAAATTGTCTAAAAAGCACATTGGTACGATGAACAGAAAATTATTTTCTTTGTTAAAATCAGTAAACAATTTTTTGTTACTTTTATGTACCATTTTTTTATTGTTTTGACATCCTAAAATATTAAAAGCTCGCAAAAATTGGTCAAATTATAACAAAACAGTAAATTTTGAAATAATGAGCTGCGCTTTTATGGCGCACATACAGGCGCGTATTTATCACTACAATTATTACAATAACAGATATTATAATACACATTTTCACTCACACCTTGTTTTATAATTAATGGCTGAATTGATTTCACGTGATAAAAAAGCAATACTAACTCACCTAGTTACAAATGAAGGCTTCAAACAAAAGCTTTAATCACAATATAAACTAACATAAACACTAACACAATCACTAACACAATATAAAAACTGTCTTGGTTTCGGTCATGGTGACGATGACGACCCGGAGCATTGGCGCCGGGTCACGCGCCTATCTTATGCCTGCGAGATGCAGAAACAAACTGAATTGTAGATTAGGAAATTGCCATAATATCTATAAACATAGATGAACAATGCCGCATTGTGAAGATGAGACACTTCAAATCTTTTGAAGTTGTATCGATAAAATATCGATATCGTAGATACAACTGCCCTCTGTAGGTGTATTTGATTTTAAATCCTATCTACAATATTTGTTTTGAAAACAGTTTAACAACTGAGCTGCAGATGATCAGTCAATGAACATATAAGTTGATATTGTGTCTAATTAATAATAACCAGCTGTACCTGTGACTTCGTTCGCGTGGAATTAAAGAAAAAGTTAAAGGGTTCTGCATTGTTATGTTATTTATTTTTAGATTTTTATGTTAGCATTATTAAAAAAAAAAATTTTATATATTTATTGTAAAATTTATTTTATATAATAAATGCTGATACAATAACACTGTTGGCCTTTCTCATGCTAATGGTGGTACATTTAAAAATACTATAATATAATATAAAATTGTGGTGCATGGCAATATGCCTTAAGGCAGAATTGTTTGATTTGAAAAAAATTATAATAAATTGATGGTCAGTTTTTATTGATTATTGTATATTTTTATTCCAAATTTTATATTTATTGAATATCAAATCAAAATACTAGAAGTTTGATTCATGTACTTATATCAAGTAATAACAAATAAAATTCTATTAGAACCACTTTAAATTAACATTTGTGATTCCTCCCAAAATAATAAACTAGTCGTAAAAACGAAACACTCTCACACAAATAACATTTAGGTGCATTATTATTGAAAACTATTTCCATTATTTGTAGAATGCAACATGTGCGTGTCTATTATTTGTCGAATGCGTTATATGTTGATTTGCATATGTTGCAAATTTCAATTGGTATTTATTAGTGATGTGCCAAGTCGAATCAAGTGATTCGAATCATTCGAATCAAGCCTTTAACGACTTGATTCGAATCAGATTTTACTTGATTCGAATCAACTCGTATCAAGCCGCGAAATATTTACTGTGATAAAACATGTGTGAACACAAATTTTCATAAATATAAAAAAAATGTTTTAATTTAATTCAATATTATAATAATATAAATAATAATAATAATAAATATAAAAAATAATAATAATAAATATAAAAAATAAATCTTGAATTAAATCATGCGAGTCACCCGCCTTTAATACGCTTAAATGTATCACCCGACTCCAATTTATATGACTTTAACCGCATTCAAGTCGATATGAATTCATCCGAGTTCCTATGACTCAAACCGACTTATCCCGACTTCAAGTCGTTATGAATTGATTCGAGTTCCTAAGACTCAAACCGACTTATCCCGACTTCAAGTCGTTATGAATTGATTCGAGTTCCTATGACTCAAACCGACTTATCCCGACTTCAAGTCGGTATGAATTTATCCGAGTTCATATGACTCAAACCGACTTATCCCGACTTGAGTTCGAAACATGTGTCCGTGTTTAGCGTATCGACTTATGGAGATGCAGTGCGTATGGGTCTTGAGTGTTTGTTTATTTTTGACTAAGCGCTGAGAGCAAATTTGTTCATGAAATATCAAAAACTCATTTAGATAATAAATACGCGATTTAGATTTCAATTATTATCAAAATAAACTACACAACGAGTTTTATACACATACAAAATTATTATATTTTAATTATGCAAGTAATGGCAAATTCACACAAATGAAATAATATCAATCTTTACAGTAGTGGATTGAATTTTAAGTCATTCGTAAGACGTTAGATTAGATCTAAACAATCAATAATATACACATGCATTCGTTCAACGTAAGATTAAGAATATTGTTTTATATGCTTTAGTGATAGAGAAGTGTTTGGTTATATTTTACTGTAAATTCACTTGAAAGATTAGTTATATTTGTAGCTAGTTTATTATTATATATATAGTATAAATGTATTCATCTCTGCACTTTTTGGAATTAATTGCTTACTAAATTAATTATTTCACTTATAAAATTATTAAAATGATATTATTTCTTCTCTTAAATTATAATTGTTCATATATGAACTTGATTCGAATTGATTCGAATCATGATTCGAATCAGGTTTTTTTCTGATTCGAATCACTCGAATCAGGAAATTTTCGAGTCGGCACATCACTAGTATTTATTATACAATTCACAAAATTCGTAAAAACATTTAATTAATCTTAAGTATAGGAATACCTTATTACAAGCATATACCTGTAACACCTAATTTTAGACAACTTTGTCAGAAACTTAAGACATAATAACTTCCAACCTTATGTCAAAAATATTTATTTTTTTATCCTTATTCACCAATTTAGAAAAACTGGCTAATGATATATTTGGAATAAATCTATGCACAAAATTTAGCCATACAGCATATGAATCGATAAAACTACATTGTTGCAGATGTAATAAATGTGATTAAAAACATTATTTGTGCAATGGCTGCAATGTAAACAGAATTCAGAAAGCCGAATTGTTGGCCGTGTAATAATTCAATATAATAAAAAAAATGAGATTAACTATAGAAAATAAAGTCTTCGCTTACACAAAAAAGTAATGGAAGCAATTTCCAATTGATATTTTTTCAACAAACTAATAATATCTGTAATTAAATTAATTATAGTGCACAAACATACACTTGTATGTCCTAAAAGCGCGGCTCATAATTTCAAACTTCAATGATTTGTTATAATTCACCCACTTTTTGTGGGCCTCTAATGTTTTAGAATGTAATAATAATAATAAAAAACATACACAAAGATGTTCTAAATTTTGGCACCAAGTGTCGCAATGGTTCTCCTAATGCATACGACATGAAGACATGCTTTAGTACCTATATTAAATTGAAAATATTGATAAAAAAATATATTTATAAGTTAACATAGCCCTTGCAGGCACTGTTGTGAAAAGCAGTATGTAAAAATGAGCATGATAAAATTTCATTGTAGAACACTGAACATAATAGAATCTTCCACGCTGCATTTCCATGATCGAGTTACAGTTTTCAGCTCACGGACCTGCTGCCTTCGGAAAAAGTACCTTTTATAAAAAAAATATATATATATAAAAATTTTAAATAAACAAATATATGATGGTGTTTTATTTATAATAAAAATATAAGATGTAAGAAAATAATAAATATGTTAAGAAAAGAATATATAATATGTAGCAAAAAATTATTGTACATATATAATACTAACAACAAGTAGATACTAAAAGTTATGACAAGTACATATTTAAAAAATCGTTTAAATAAGTAAGAATACTTTACTAATTAGAGTTTCAAAATAACATTATTGAATAACTAACAGATTTTATTCAAATATCTGGATAAGTAAATATTACACGAATAAAAATGTTTATTTTCATACTAAAAACTATTTTTGTTATTTGCCAATCGAATGCATCATACGCTAATCTGCATATATTAGAATATTTCAATTGCTATTTAGTATACAATTTATGAAAATGTATAAAAATAAAACAGTAGAAATGCTAAATATAAAGATGTCGTCAGAGTTATACGTGTTGATACGTCATCCAATTACATACAAACATCTTTTAAATATCAAAATGAAATCATAATCGATGTGCTTATGATTCTAAACTAGTGGTGTTTGGCATCGTGCCTATCGGGCAAATTGCTAGAACTTCCCGCAGCGTATCGAAATATTCGAGGAATTTAAATGTTTTCAAATAGATTATTATAAATACTGTTTCATTGTATAATAATTGTAAGAAGTATATAAACTGAATTTGAACTGAACTTTAAAGTATATAAGTGAGTTTTAGAAATTAAAATAAATACAAAAAAAATTTTGAAGAAAAAAAAAATTGAAAAAAAAATCTTTGAAACAAAAAATTCTTTCCAGAAGCAATTAATTTGTTTAAACAAGCTGAAAGTTTTTTAATCATTCAAATCGGAAGCACTCTCAAAAACTGCAGTTTTTTGTATATTTAGCTTTGTATCTTCGAAATGGCTAGACCTGCCTTTGCCAAAAACTAATCAGCACATCTCCCTATCAATAGGAATCGATTGTTTTTTAAACCATATAATATAGAATATTTCAGAGTTGTTTTACTTATAGATATTTATAGCTGTTGCAAATGATTTTTAGTTGTTATTTGAGAGTTACAAATGATTTTCAATTGATTGTTGAAATAGCTTGACTATATTAAAGTCACATATGCAATACCAAATGCACAAAAATTAATAAATCTGCCATAGCAAGATTTGACAATAAATTTTAAATTCATATTCAAAATATATAGGAAACATTACATATTTAATTATTGGCCTTGTCTATTGAAAGTCATCGAATACGATAAAAATATTTCAATTCTCCGAAATATATTAGTCTCATTCGATGCGAAGATGAGTGAGTAGAAAGTATTTTCATATCCTAAAATATTCAAAATGACCCAAATCGTAATTAAAATATACGAGTAATAAATCCGACTTATGTACGCAAACAATAATTTCCCCTTCGGCGAGGTTAAGCACACATTTAAAAACACACACACACACACGCACATATATATATATATATATATATATATATATATATATATATATATATGTGTGTGTGTGTGTTTTTAAATGTATGCTTAACCTCGCACACATTATATATATATATATATATATATATATATATATATATATATATGTAAACATAAATAGGTATCCTATGTATAACACAATATTTCTATAACACGCTTCAAGAATTGAGAATATTTCCTCTCATAATACGGTTTGCCAATAACTTTTATGATATGACAGCTAATAAAAGTATATTTTATTTGACATAAAACTAGTGAAATAAAAAAAACATTCAGTAATTTTGAGGATTATGGATAATTAACATCTATTCAAAAAGGTTCCTCATTAGTAATTCTTTTAAACATTGATAAATAAATGAAATTTAATTGCTGTGATATGAAGAACTCAAGAAATGTGATAAAACGAGCGCAGGAGATATCCTCATATTTTTCAATCGAACGAGAACAAATAGGTACTCATATCCGTTAAATGAATATCTTTAAAAAGCACTTCACAAGTGCTTAGCATCATATATAGAAATTTTTAAAGATCCTTCTACTAATAGCAAATGATAGGAAGAAACAGATATATTTCTCGGCTTACTCGTATATCTTGCTTCTTGTCCCCACGAAAACCGGCGTTAGACATTACTTTAAGGGGGGGAGGATCTAGAATGCTATGATTCTCTCTTTTGACTATACTTTCCATCTCGTAAGTCCCATTCGATCTTCTTCTTGCCGAAGATCGCAAATCTTTTAAAACTGTGTGTATATATGTAATACATTTTGTAGCTTTATGTAACACACAAAGAACTTAACAAGTACGTCAATTTGTATTTGATCCTTGGAATGCTCATTAAGACAAATACCGCAAAAATATCGAGAATAGTAAAAACACACGAAACGGATGCTGCTTTTCGAGTTCTGGCAGAAGAGCCTAGTTTTCCCGAGAAGCATTTGATCACGGCGCGGTTAAAAATAATTCAATGGCGTTCGAGTTAATCCTACGCTGAAAGTTCTTGATCATTATAGTATACTTTAGTCTCTAACAAGCAACATGTCGCTCATTAATCCGCAGTTCGATTCATACATACGCTGTGATTTGTTTTATTCATAAAAAATACAATCGTGTTCGTGTTCCATGATTATGGAATCGAATAATTTTGTGACAGTGTTTAATAGTGACATTCAAACGATATAGTTTAATACAAGGTTGGTTTCTAAGTGAAGCTAAGAAAAATTATATTGAAATACACAGTATTATATTCACCTGAATAAATTGGATTTTGTGAAGTGCTACCATCCATATTGTGATGCTTTTATAAAACAGCAAACAGGCGAATAAAATTCGTATTTGTATATAAATTTTTGCGATACCACTATAATATACTATATATATATATATATATATATATATATATATATATATATATGTATATATATATGATGATAGCTTTGACGACGTTAATACATATTTGAAGTATTTTGCAGCCCAATCGTCGAATTAAAAAAAGTTTAAAATAGATAGAAAGATAAAAATTATTCTTTTATTAATTATAGTTATGATATTCTTTTACAAAAGTTTAGTAGTCAATAAATTTTATATATATTTTTTTGCTTTTTTCCTGGTTTGATTACTGAATGATGACACACGATAAGTGTCGAAACGTTTAATGGAATAAAAAATGTTTTTTAATCGTTGTTTAATTCAGCGATTGGGCTGCAAAATACTTTAATATATATATACATATATAAATAGATATGTATATTATCATATCTGTATATATATGTCATGGATTTGTAAATATTGTGTGGAGTTTCAAACAAAATTCCATTTTTTTTTAATTTTTTAAAAAAAAATTATTTTATCATCAACTAATTATGTTCTATCTTCATGATATATGTCAACAAATATAATCTTCATTTGATATAAATAATCCAAAACAACATACTTGGGAAAAAAATTAAAGGTTATTTTAATTTTATGTGCATAAGTTTCAAAACCTACTAATTTTAATTTTTTCTTAAGTATATTGTTTTAGTTTGTTTATATCTAATCAAGATCAAATTTCTTGACAGATGTCCTGAAGATTGAACTTACGTAGTTCCGAAACGTCGATGATAAATAAAAATGTCTTCAAAAAACTTTTTGGTTTTTATAGCAGTTGAATTTTTAAAATCTCTTTAAAAAACTTTTTGATTTGTTATTGCAATTGGATTCTTTGTTTAAAACTCTATATATATATATATATATATATATCATATATATATATATATATATATATATATATATATATATATATATATGAGTGTGTGTATATATGTGTGCAGATTTTGCGAACTATTGGGCAACTATCCAACATTGTGTTTAAAATGAACTAAATTACTTAGTAAATTTTAAACTTAATAATTTATATACGTTTCAAAATTAATTTGATTTCTACTATTTTTAATCAAACTTTAACGTTTTTCAAAATAAAATATAAATGAATTGGAAAAAAACAATACAACGATTTGAACAAAAATATACCTTGAAGAAAATATATTTTAGATTGTCCACCACCATTGTATTTTGATTTGCACCTGTTTGGATTATTTTTAAATATTAATTAGCTTTTTTGTATTTATAATCATAATTCATTTTTTAACATTTTATACTGTAGTTTTATTGTTTTCAAATGCAATAAAAATTAATTTCAAAACTGAACTGAACTAAAATATACCTTAAGAAAATATATTTTAGATTGTCCACCGCCGTTGAAATTTGATCTGCACCTGTTCGAATATATTTTCAAATAGTAATTAATTTTTTAATATTATGATCATAATTCATTCTTAAACTTTTTATACTTAAGTTTTATTGTTTATAAATGCAATATAAATTAATTTTAGAACGAATATAGGATAACCTTTTATGAATATTTTCCATATTTGAATTCATTTTGAAACATAATACATTTTATGATTTGACGATGGTGTAAATGAAGAACCTAATTTTTTTCCTTGTTATTAATAAATAATTAAAAATTCTATCCGAGATCGATTCCAGAATTCTCAGAATAAAACTTATTTAAAAAAGATGAAGCGATTGCAAACTAATACTAAAAAAATAACTAAAGGCCAATTAATATATAATAAATTCAGTATTAAATTTAGTTTAAAATTTTAACTTAGTTTAAATATTTACCAAAATTTTCTTATTATTTTGAAAATTTTAAAATTGAATAGTCTCAAATATTTCACTTCAAACATAAAAAGCTATTATTACTTGCAATGAGTCTTCAAATTTTCCATCTTTCAAATTTGCGCAGTCGCCGCGCTGCTGGCAGCCTGGTTAGGTGACCAGTACGAATTTAGCTATGTATCAGAATACAACAAGAATCAGAAAATAGTTTCAGTTATTACCGATTTATCTTTGAAATTTTTAAATTTAATTGAAAATGTAGTAAATTTAAAATATTCAGGTGAGATTTTCTGGATAAGATGATTGTGTTAAGTTTCAGGTGCAACAAAACATTTTTGAAGGTTAAGATGAAAGTGAAATGTGAATTCAAAAGTTATGCAATATTAAGTCAAATGCAAAAGATTATATTTTTTTAAATTTGACTGTTTCACGACTGTTCTATAATGTTCGTGGTATAAAATATTTTTTATATAGGTGAAGTACATAAAATAATAATGTTTTTCCGCCATTCACAATATTTCGTTACACTTGCACCAGCGATTTTGCCCTTAAATTAGCATACTAATTCCATTTTTTACTAATATAAACATACGTGGTAGTGCCTTTGACCTCGAAACCACAAGGTTCCAAATTACAAATACGCGTTGCGGGCTAACTGAAATCAGGCAGTATTGATATCCATTTGCAATTAAAAATTAGCATAAAAAATAGTTATACGAATGAGAATAGCTAAGGCAATACTGCAATGAAGTATATAAAAGTTGAATAGTACTGTCTAAAAAATAAAAATTATATTTGTAAAAAAAATCATCCTCAAATTTCAATGAATATGTGGAATAGTGGAATGTCAAGTAGATAAAAAATAATGTTTGTATCGCGAGGCAAAA